CGCCAACAACCCCCTCCTATTGATTATATCTAGATGAATACAATTCAATATAATTCCTGAAGTCACATTTTTTGTTTTCTTTTGTGCGGTTGTGCTTTCTTCATTCTATCATGATTCTTATTTTTCTCTTAGAACCTGCTAATTGAACTTTACATCATGAAATTTACATCTCTGTGTTGTATATGACCATCCCATCCCTTGCCTTCTTAAGCACATGCAGTGTCTTACTATCTTTAGAGATTCTTTAATGATGTTTTAGCATATTTTGAAAGTTTGAAATCAAGTTAACTCATAACATTAGTTTCGGGCGATGCAGATATCAATATTGTTTCCTTTTGTTATTATTTTTTTTGGCTCTTTTGTCGTTGTTTTATTTTATTTATACTTCCATAAAGATTTTGTGGTTGTATCTGACTTTCACCATTAATTGGTGTAAATTAGGATCCAAAAGCTTTGGTCAAGGCTTATGTCTGTTTCTAATGAGGAAAGCTTGTCACATTCCCAGGTGTGCTCTTCAATTCTGAGTAGACATGCTTTTATGAGTGCAGCTATAATTAAATAATAGATTTTGATGCAAATTCAAGCACATTTCAGTCCAACTAACTTCTGTTACAAATCATGCTTGGGTGCATTTCAGCCTTTAATTTACATTCTCCTAAGACTCGGTCCTGAGTTAAGTTTTGGGATTGTACTGGTGGTTTTAATTAAGGATTCCCTTTTGGGAAAAAAAAATTGATTGAACTCCATTTGTCTTTTTTTAATATATCTATGACTTTGTGTTCATTGTTCATTTTCTGTACTTTATTTCTCCTCTTTTAAAATAACAGTTGAAAAGTGAAAAGTTGATGTTGAAACATGACATACCTAAAGTTGTACTTTTTCCCTTGTGGTTATGATCAAGATTAAGATCAATGATGAAGGAAAAGATTTTGGGTTCAAAAAACAATTGCTGTTTTCGTGTATATGAGTGTAATAATTTAATAAAGCAAGAAGAATGGTGAATTCATTAGATTGTTTCTCATATGTTTGATTGAGTTGCAGAGTATGGCTTTTTCTGCAAGGTTTTGGATCTGGATTATTCTTTCAGATATAAGATGATAAAATTTCTGTGGTTGCAAAATATTTATGTCAATACTCCCATTATAAAGGATAATACCATGGTGAATACGGAATACATTATGATAATTATCAAATATATTGAATTGTTAAGCCTCAGTGCCTTACACCACCAGCAGAATCAATTTTATATACTGTTTGTGAGCTTGTCCTTCACGTGGACTTTTCGTGCATATCAATACTTTGTACTTGTATAGATCCTTGATTAGGTGGAGTTTCTGCTTTCACTTTTTTTCTAGTCTATTGAAATATGAAAAACAATGTCACAGCAGAGTTGCGAGGACTTGAAATTTAACATCAATGGGCATCGTCATTCAGTTGTTTTTCTTTTTCTTGGTTCAGTGATTCATGAGGTGGAAAGTCTGTCTTGAACAGCTAACCTTTGTATCTTCTATCATATCTTCGTTTTATAATAAGGATGGTAGGAGTCGTAAATTCCACTCTTCATCCCTTACTTTGTTACCTTAAATAACTGAATGACACTAAATGGTGTTAGATGCTACTAGTCTTAGTAGTATACCTTCTATCTATTTGTATTTCTTTGTATTGTGAACTCTCACATGCATGTGCCTAAAGTAATTAGTTATGTCTCGGTGAAAAGCATTCAGAGTATTACATATTCTTTTCTATATTTTTTTAATGGTTATTTGCTTCCATTGGGATGTTTTGCAGCTTTCATCTCATTTTTTCTTGGATCTCCTTGATTCCATCATAGTTGATGTGGCATCAGAGTGTCACAGAGTAGCAAGGCTGGGGCTCGATTCTAATTTGGAAGAAGAAGACGAAGAATTGAAGCTATCAGCACAAGCCAGGGTTAGGGTGGCTGATCCTAGTAACAGTAATGAAGCAAATGGAAAGTATGTGGTTGATATATTCGGACAAACTCACCCTGCTGTGGCAAATGAAATATTTGAGTGCATGAATTGTGGTCGATCCATCATGGCCGGGAGGTTTGCTCCTCATTTGGAGAAGTGCATGGGGAAGGTTATTCTTTTATCTTTTTGAATTGTTTATTACTTGCTCATTCCATAACATTAAACTTCTCTAGAAAAACTTGTATGAGAAGGAAATAGAAAGGAAAAATGAAACTATTTTCTTTATAAGTTAAAATTAGTTTATGCAAGTTGAAAAAGCTAATATGAGAGAGTTTTTCCAAACTAATTTATGTAAAATTTAAATTTAGCATATAGAGAAACTAATTTCATTTTTTCTTCCTATTGTCTTTTCCCAAAAGTGGTTCTAGATAAGTTCATTCAAACAAGCTCTATATCTATTCGTAATATCACATGGCATGTGCAAAGAAGACCAATAAAAGCTTTAGATGGAGAGTAGGTCTATCGATAGAGGGAGTTCAAGAAATACTATAAGCTAATGTTTAATTTCTTCAAGAAATTGATTTTAACTTGTACATAAATTAATTATAGCTTATTTCGCCTTTTATACTTATTTTCTTCTTCTATAAGTGCTTATGAAAAAGTTTATTCAAACGGGACGTTAGAGATTAATAGACATGATTTACATTGGTATACTATGATATCATCTAATTCATATAACCAACTTCACCTAGTGTAAAAATACTTGGTTGTTGTTGTTGTTGATGATAATGATGGCTGAGAATTCAGTGAAAATATTTGTTCTCAATCTTCATGCATTTGATCATTTTAGTTGCTTTACTTATATGTCATTTTCCTATTATGAAAACGCTTGCATGCTTCACTTCAGGGTAGGAAGGCTCGTCTTAAAGTGACAAGAAGCAGCACCGCCGCACAGAACCGATTTTCGCGAGGCAGTCCTGTTCCTACATATTCAAACTACTCTACCAATAGCATGAACCGGTTGGCAAATGGATCCTCCACTTTTGCAGGTGAGGAGCACTCAAATGGGACACTCGAGTCATGAGCTAGTTCATGTGTAATGGTTGGTGGCATGCAGGATCTGTGTCACACCTTGAGCTTGTTTTGCTTGGAGAAGCTGAATTGAATTATGTGTTTGAATACAATATTTCAAACATTTTGGACCTAAACGTAACAATCACCTTTGCCTACATCCTTGATGTTGTCTAGCTTTACAAAAAAAAAAAAACTGAATTTTACATTGAGTTCCATTGTAATTTTATTATGTTTTACACCGAGTACCATTGTAGTTTTATTATAATTTTAGTATTTTATCAACTGTCAACATGTATATTTCTGCAACTATGGACGAGAAGATGTGCAGTGTGTTGAGGAGAATAATATGTAGAGCTTTTGAAATGTGTTAAGATGAATATTATGCGTAGAGCTTTTGAAGAGTTTTTAAATGGGCAAAAAACAGAAATTCTGAATTGAACTGTATTTGAAAACAATATTTCAATTTCAAGCATTTTGGTCATAAGCATTATAGTTAGCCAATTATCGTTGCTATATAAAAGAAAAAAGCTAAAATTTTCCGTTGCCAGGACTTGAACCCTGGTCTTTCGGGTGAGAGCCAAATATCCTGACCAACTAGACTACAACGGAATGTTGATAGTAAGTGGTAACTAAAATATAAATCTAAATTTAAAGATCCACACAGTAAGTAGCATAAAGAGTATAAAATTAGGGGTGGGGTCCTTCACTTTCCATAGTCAGGGTCTCTTCTTCAATTTAAGTTTTAAAAGCATTTTGATCTAAGCTATTTGAATATCATATGAAAAAAATACTCGGAGTAATTTTCATCTCATGAGTTCATCGTTAAAGTTAAATTAAATTTAAACCTATTTTTTTTTCTTCATAAAAATCCTATTTAAATTATTATTGTTGGTTCTGCCTGATTATTCATTATCAAATTATTCACTAATTCTAATCTAATAAATATTATATTCAAGATGTCTATTTATTACGGTCTGAATGTTAGAGATTTTACATTGATTAATAATATAATTAAAATAATATATAGAAGTGAGAGACAATCCTTGCTTTATGAGCTATCTTGTGGTATTGAGTTGAACTCAAATTTAAATTCTAAAATTAAGTATTTTTAAACAACAAAATAAAACTACAATTATGTTAGCGCAATTAGTATTAATTTTATTTTTATATATACAAAATTTTAGCATGTAAGAATTTTCTCTTAAATTACAATTAAACAATTTTTAATTTGGTGGTAAGAAATTAAAAATTAAATTCTAAAACATATTTTATTGCTTTCTGGACGAGTAGTTCTTACCACTTAATTTATTTCATCCAACAAACCACCCTCAAACCAAGTTAAAATTTTCAATCCTAACTAGTTTTGTGACTATGTAGTGCATTATTTTTAAAATGTAACATTACTTTGCTTTAACATAATTTTTTAAGTATAATCTTTGAAGACATTTAGTTTTATTAATACATTTAGGCATAATTAAATCCATTAACAACGATAGTAATAATTCATGTCTTAAAAATTTACTCAAAAGGATTAAATAATGTCATTTTATTTAAAATAAATATTTAAAACAAGATCCATTTATAAGTTAATTTTATGTTACAAAATTTTTTACATTTAGATTCTATGTTTTATATGGGCTTATGGAAAGTCATCTCTCTTGTAGGGTTTGTAAAGGACTTTACTATGAACTTTATGCAATTTCTAAAAATTGAAATAAAAATGTAAACGAGGAGGCTCCACTATAACAATTTTTTTTATTAATAATAATTATTTAATAGTAATAATTTAATTATCACTATTTAATTATATAATAAAAATATTAATGACTAATATATAATAGCCACTAAAAATATATTTATATTATAATAAAATTTATTATTAGTGATAATTATTTATTAGAAAAAACTAATCTAATATCAATTAGAGATAAGATAATTAAATAGTATATAAGTGAGTAATAAATATCACACACACACACACACAAAAAATTAGTTCAACATCAATTATAGATAAGATAATTAAATAGTATATAAGTGAGTAATAACTATCATACACGCATACACGCACGCACACGCACACGCACACACACAAAAGCTATTGTGAGTTTTTTTTTATTTTTATTTTTTTTATTTTATATGTACATAATAGATAACACACATAATAGATACAGCTATCACAATTTTTATTTTTTTTTATAAATACAACTATGTGAGTTTTTTTTTATTTTTATATATACATAATAGATAGATATATAAAGACTATTATATTTGTTTTACAAGTTAGCTTTCAATAGGATAAAAAAAAAAAAAAATGATAGACAATAGAATAAAGTAATCATATCATATTAGTACAATAAATTGAATATAATATATTAGGATAAGGTGATAAATATCCCATTAAATTGTTTTATTTGGATAATTTTTTTATGAACACTTCTAAGAAAATAAAATAAAGATAAAATTAAAATAAATATTTTATATATAAATTAAATAAGTTAAAAAAATAGCATTTTTAGAGAAATATTAATATAAGAGAATTTTTATTATTAAAATTTTTATATTAACTAATAATAATATCATAATAGTATATATAACTAAAGAATAATCATCACTTCACAATTTTATAAAGTTGAATTAAGCTTTAATTCATTAATTTTAATTTATGAAAGAAATCTATTTTTTTTTCTTCTTATTTTCTTTAGAAGTTTGTCCGAATAAAGTTTATACAGATAAAAATAAATAATAATCATTGAAATCAAATGAAAGAAGAAATGAAATGGAAGAATATATATATAGTTGTCCAAACACCACAGATAAGAGTGATGAATCACTTTAATCTCATTCAATTATCATCTAGTCTGTCTTACCAAAAATGGTTGCGACAATTATGTATGTCCACTTCAAATCTCATTCTCATCTATTCTTTCTTAAAGAATAAAAGAGATCATTTTGATTTCAAGCAATTCCAACTGTGGCCACTTTAGATTGAAATTTTGGGAGAATATCCTTCGTGAAGATGACAGTACTCTTCTATGGATTGGTTGCTATTTTTATGGATGGAATGGTGACGTGTTGCCATAAATGATCACCATTATAAAATGTTCTGCATTAATACTAATGATGGAGATACATTACAGTCAAGAGGAGATGAATTTAGGATATGACAAAAGAAAAATGTACGATCCAGATCCCACCTCAAGATTTGTCTCTTCTCTTCACAGTTCATAACATTCATATCTCATTATAACAATTTTGAGAATTTTCTAGGTAAATCACTAGTAAAAAATATTATATTTTACATTCTTTATTAACTAACTAACGTAACAAAAATGAGGTGATATAATTAAATTTTTTTACAACTTTTTGATATTCGAATTCTTGTAATAGATGTAAAATATATTTTTTTACACCGGCTAGAAGTTCAACTAATATAAAATTATTGGCTCAATTTATAACTCACATAAAAAATGTATTTTAAACCATTCTCAAAATCTTATTTAGCAGTCCTGTGGTACCATTTCTTCTTTTATAAATCTTATTAAGATCCTTCTTCAATAACATTAACGATGTTTCAAACGTCTATCTCTGATAAATTTTTCTCACGATTCTGTCTTCGTTTATAACTTTCAACAACGTCTACCAAGTATGTCATTTTCGTTTTTTGAATTATTTTTAATTTCGTTTTTGCTTCATTTAGCTCCTCATTTTGTTGTTTATGATTATAAGAAAATTAAAAATCCAATTAACTCATGTAGTAATGTTATAAAGTTAATTTCAGAACTCAAATGTAAATGACTTAATAGTTTCAAATTTAAATAGTAAAGTTTATAGTGAGAATCATGTGTTATAGTTTTTGTGCAACTACTTTTTATAGTAAAATAAAAATTATAATGAGACTAAAAGTACAATTAGTCATAAATTTATATAATGTAAATGATGTTCTTTAATAAAGAAAATAAAAACAAGCATTTTTTTACAATTTGTTTTTTGTTAAATGAGAAATATATAAAATTATTTAATTAGAATGTACTAAAAGCACTTTGGAGTGTATGTATACTAAAAAAAAAATAATTAGAATTTATTTATTTTGGGAAGTTATCGTAAATGATAAAAAAAATTGTCAACTTCAGTTAAATTTTCATTGTTCTCGATTGTAATATTATATATATATATTCATGAAAACAAAAAGCCAATTCAATAATTCAGTTTTTGTTTACAAATTCCTTTATTGAAAGTTTCATTGTTCTCTTTTAAAAGTTCTGTTTTCTGTTTGTCTATTTTTACATTTAATTTGTGTTTTTTTTCTCGGGATAATGCGACTTAATTTTAGACTATTATGTTTTCACAAACCGATACAAGTGACAAGTGTATTGAAGAGATATATATTTTTCCTATATATAATATAGGGGAAAAAATGTTTTGTTTGCCCCTTTCTCCGTTTCTTATGGTACATTTTTATACTTTTTTTTCGTAACATTTATATTCTACAAATCTCTTGAAACAAAAATAAAATATATTTTTTTTTATTCTCAAAAACTGTAACGACTCAACATGTTCTTATATTTAACGGTTCACAATTAGCAACAAAAAATACACAACTAAATACTTAGAATTGTTATCCAACTCATATATAGAAAATTGATATCATAATATATACATGTAAGAATTTCAATAACTAGAGAAATAAAATTTTGTATATGTATATAAAGATATACAATAATCTAGATACAAAATAACAATCCTAGGAGTCAGTCAAACCTACTATATACAATTAGTACATCTACTAAGAGCTAGGTAGCTACCCTCCAAAAATCTTATATCCTTCCGGTACTTAATTACGAATTTTAACTCTCAGTCTTGTATCTTATTCTAATTTGGTCATTTTATGCATGTATACCTCGATCTTACCCATATATAAATAAAAAATGGTTGTTTATAGTCAACATATCTCGACTTGACTCACATACTACATCAATGAAGACCCTAGAAAAGACTCAATTATTCACTTCAAGAGTCAACTTTTCAAAAAGGATTTTTAATAATCGGGCTTTCAAAACACTACAGCACAATGTCCTCACAATGTAATATGCAACTTTAAAACAACTTTTCCTCCAATCCTAGGTTGATCAACAACTTTCAACACCATGACTTAAGCATTCTCAACACAATTACTCAAATGGACAACATATAACTCAACTCAATTTTCAACTATTTATTCATTCATTCTCATCATATTAGATCAAGGTATAAAGATTCAACTCCATACATAAATATATAACATATAATAGATTCAACTTACTCATCATACAACATGTAATAAATTCAACTAACATATTCATATTCACTATTTAAGCATTTAGGCAACAAGTGT